AAGATAATAGTGTATTTGTATATTAGTAGTTGTTGATTAAAGTAAACATTTTTAGTCAACAACATTGGAATGTAGTTCATATACGGGGTAATTAAATTGGACTAGTTACTGATAACTCATGAATAATAAATTGATTTGATTAAAAAAAAAATTTTCACATTGATTGCAGCACCTAGGTTCAAATGGTTCATTATATAGATACATCATGAGGGTAGAATTAGTTGGGGACAGTAAGTTAGCTATGTTGATAGGGAAGCTGACTATGTGGATATATGCAATGTTGAGAGAATGTCTATTCATGAATTGAACAAAATGGTTGAGGAGCTAGGTCATGCTGATGCAACATTGATGTACTATTATGTTGAACCAGACAAAGACCTATCAAATGGATTAAGGGAGTTATCTACTGATCAGCATATCAATATGTTTTGTGAATGGGCCTACACTTTTATAGTGATGGAGATGTACTGTAACCATTTAATAGAAGAAGAAATTGTGGAAGTATTGACACATGAATTAGCTCTTGAGAATGACATGCAAAGGAGAAAATCTGGGGGGTCTTGATTGAAGAGCTTGATGAGCAAGGCCATATTGTTAGCCATCCTTGTCTTGATTTGGTGACCAAGAGAAACAAATTCACTGAATCAGCTGCAAGTTCAAGTAGTTGGACGGGAAAAGGTCCTAGCAATGATGCAGCTGGAACTAGTACTCAATAGATTCATGGCGATGCTGGTAAAGAAGCAATTCCTAACTATGTGCAACCTACAGATAGACAAAACAGTGATGCAGCAACAACTAGTACTCAATAGCCTATTGGTCGTGACCAACAATATATAGTTTCAAGATAAAGTTCACATTGAGGATGCTTTGGACTCAAAATCGGATGTAGAATTCAATAGGTTTAGTGGTGGTGCAGAATATTGTGGTGATTAACGGCTGCTAGAAGATCTACTTGATAGCTAGGTTACAGAGCAGCCACACTTGTCACTTAGGACACTAGCAAGTTCAAAAACCAGGCAACAGCAACAAAGACTTGGAAGCTAACAAGCTGATGCAGATGTCCAGACCCAAGAACCAATGTTTGAAAGCCAAGCATCTCAATAGCCTATAGACAAGAAAAAACAAGTGAGAAAGAGAAAATCTAGACTAACACAGCAACAACCAACAGGAGAACGGGTTGAGAGCAATCCATTGGATGAAGATTACATAGCTGATCATCTAAACAGTGATATTGGATCATCCGAGAGGGAAGATGGGTATCAATGGATATATAAGGACTTTTCCATGGAGCAGTTCAAGGCTGACCCCAAGTTTGAGTTGGGAATGAAATTTGAATCAAGAGCCCAATTCAAGGCTACTGTTAGAGAGTATGGTATCAGATTGGGAAAGCCAGTATGGACAAAAAAAAAGAGCCAAAGAGAGTGATGGCCAAATACAAAGTACCCTATCAGTGGTTTGTCTTTGCTTCGATAGAGAAGGCACTTGGAACAAATGATCTGGTGGTGAAAACAATGAATGATATGCACGAGAATCGCAATCACGCTTGGAAAAATAGGAATTTAAATGCCAAATGGTTGGTTGATAGGTATGTTGAGAGGATAAGAACAAACCTTCACATGCCAATTAGGAAGTTAAGACAAACAGTGCATAAAGACTACGAAACAGATATATCTAGATGGGTTGCTACTGAGGCAAAGACAAAGGCAGTTGAGCTGGTAAGGGATTCTGCTAAAGCACAACACTCAAAAATCTGGGAGTATTGTGAAGAGATAATGAAAACTCATGCTAGTGGTATTATGGAGGTGATGTTTTCTCCATTTAGAACTCCTAGAGAGAATCCTAGATTCATGAGATTGTATTGTTGTTTAGGGCCAATGAAGAAAGGATTTCATGATAGTTGTAGACCAATAATAGGATTGAATGGTTGCCACACTAAGGGCTCCTATCTAGGACAATTATTGGAAAAAAAAAAAAGCAACTAAGCAGTAGAAGTGATTCTTGACACTTTTGAAGAGTGACTTAGAAATTAACAATCAATTCCACTACACATTTATTTCTGATCGGCAGAAGGTATGCCATTTATTGTATCATAGCTATTAGTTTTTTTTTTTTTTTTTGCAAGCCACACTTATCCATTTGTTTGTTCTTGCTATAGGGGTTGGATAGAGCACTTTCTGGCATGCTTCCGAACTCTGAACATATCTACTGCATGCAGCATATGTATAAGAACTTCAAAAGAAAACATCCTGGACAAGGCTTAAAGGATAGACTTTGAAATATTGCTAGTAGCACAACAGTCCCACATTACAATAAAGCTATGGATGACTTGGAAAAGTATGATAAAGAGGCCTTCTAGTAGGTCAAGAATGCTCCACCTCCTAGACACTGGTGCAAAGCTGTCTTCCCTACTCACACAAAATCTGATATGCTAGTAAATAATTTGCGTGCGTCATTTAATGCACACATTTTGGAGGCAAGAGAATAGTCTATTATATCAATGCTAGAGTCAATTAGAATTATGCTGATGGAGAGGATTCACATAAAAAAGTTAGCAATACAAAGGTGCAAAGGTCCCACAGGCCCATTGATTAGGGAAATTGTGAAAGAGAGGGTTAAATTAGCAAGTCAATGGAAGCCAATTTTCAATTCAATTGATGGTTATCAAGTTCATGGCCCACGTGGGGCCCAATTTGCTATTAATTTGAAAAAAAGGCACTGCACATGTCTGTTATGGGAAGTGAGTGGTATTTCTTTCTATCATGCCATTGCTTTTATTCACATGAACAATGGTGACCCGCACAAAGAGTTAGATAAGTGTTATAGTAAGAAGCTATTCCTTAGAATCTACAATCATGTGCTAGAGCCTATTAGTGGTTTGGATCATTAGCCCCCTTCATCAATGCCAGTGTTGGACCCACCATTAAATGTAACTCAACCCGGGAGGCCCAAGAAAGCTAGAAGAAGGGATGTAACTGAAGGTAAAAATCATGGAAGAAAATTAAGGCGAAGAGTTGTGATACACTACAGGAAATGTGGGCAGCAGGATATAATGTAGCAACATGCAAAAAAGAGGACAATTCAAGGATGTCTCAGGAAGATCAACAACAAATAGGAGTTAGTGAAAGGCAGCAGTCAGTAACAAATACATCACAGTAGGTCAGGAGCTTTAAAACTTGATACGTCTTGGTATTAGTTTTTCAAACATAATGTATTCATGTAATTTATAATGATGACAGGTCAAAAGGGCTTGAGGCAAAGCCAGACAATATACGAGAGCACAGTAGGGTACCCATGAAAGGTCATATTAGTAGCCTATGCAGAACCAATCCAAGCAACCAGAGATTGCACAAGAGCATTCCCATCAGCAACAGGCTGCATATGAGCCATCTCATTAGAAAGAGGCTACATATGAGCACTCCCAATAGCTGTAGCAACCTGCTTATCAGCTGCATACCAATTGACTTAGAAGGACTTCTTCTAAGAGACCATTAACTGATACAGATGGAATGATAAATTTGAACTATGCTTATTTAGGAAAGGGCCTCCCATTTATTGTTGGGAATTGGAGAGGGAATTGGAGTGGGAGAAAAAAGAGGGGAAGAGAGTCTGGAAGAGGACAAGGGAATGAAAAATGAGAGACAACTACTTCTCTTTTTGTCATTTGGTGATAATTGTAAATGATGTCAACCTGCAAGGCCAGCAACAACTCTCTTTTTTTCAATTGTAATTTTTGGTTCATGGATATGTGCTGGTTATCAATTGTAATTAGTTGGCTGGAAACTTGTTTTTGTTATAGGGGTTGATTTGTGGTACAATTAGTCGAAAATTTGGTGTAAACTTGCTTTTTGTATATGGGATCAAGACTTCGGTTGATTAATGGGAATTGGTTCTTTACATTTCTTCTGCCTGTTGAACCTTGGTTAGTAACACATTTCAAATGAACTAACACTATCATTATCATTCATGACTGAATTAGCATCTAATTTACAATAGGAATATCATGCTATTCAACTAACAATAGGGCTTACAAATTTTGTCTAAACATACACTAGCTTCACCAAACTAGCTAAACATTCCACAAAACTATCCATCATGTACATTTGCTACTACATCTGAAGAGTCCTAAACAGAGCGTACATTTGCTACTACACCTATAGAGTCTAAAATAGGGCCTTAATCTATTGCAAATAGGTTGCATTCCTTCCCTTTTGAACCCAAACAAGTAGTATCACAATGACCCAGGTAATAAAAAATCACCTTATTAGAATCTTGGTCAACCATTTATGTGATCGGATTTCTTTTTGCAACTCTCTTATTTTCTGATTCTTGTTTTCCAGCTTTCTCTCCAACATTCTTCTAACATCTTCACTTTTATCTCTCTTTTTTTTCTGTCCGATTGATTCTCTTAAGAAGAATAGGTATCAACTCTACAGAACGTCGACACATTTTCCTATCGATCCAAGACCAGTGCTAGTAGCCACCATCTGCACAAACAACATACCTCCTCCCCGGATTCCTATCGGTCCATGAAGTAATCATCTTACAAGTTTTGTCGCATCCGCAATTGGGGATTGAAGGACTCTGATATGCGCTATTATCATCTGCACAAACACCATCTGCCCTTGTGGCCCTTAAAATGGCCATGAAAATATGAAGAAAGAGACTTCTTTTCACACTTTAACCTAGCAACTATAGTGTGCTAATGAAAACGCCCCTCACTTATCCCTGTGCCTCGCACCTGTTGCTCTTTCTGTTGGACTTAACGACTCTAGCTTATGGAAGAGTCACAAACATATCATTTAATTAGATGGAGGGTCAAAAGTATTCATTTAATAGTTAGGGGCCAAAACTTGAACTTTTAAATAATTTGAGGGTCATTGGGGCATTTTGCCCTATAAAATAATATTCAGTATAATATTACAATGCATCTCTACGTCAAAACACGTGCAACAATCGAGCAGAATCGCACAAAATACAATCTGGGTCCTGTCGGGTTGGTAATAAGCAATTAACCCTTTCATTTCGGTCGGCCGCAAAATGAACGTTGGCCGCCCCCGACCCCGCCCTCGAGCATTATTCTCTTTCATCTTCCTCCCTATTTCTTGACTGAAATCCTGATCTGCATAGCCAATTCCACTAATATCAAAACCCTAAATCAAAACCATGAGCAGCTCCATTCATCTCTTCTCCATCAACCCAGTTGATTTCCGCCATTCACGTTATTCAATCTCCCAAAACCGTCAAGTTTTGTCCCCATTAGCCTGCCTGAATGTGGACGTCCGGGCACCAGATTCTGTCTCATCGAAGCCGCCAGCTTTAGGACAAAATGCTCAAAGGGTTAAAGAGATTATGGAGGAGGAGAACAGGGTTTTGGTGGGGACCTATGCTAGAGCCCCTGTTGTGCTCTCTAGCGGCAAAGGTTGTAAATTGTATGATATTGATGGTCGAGAGTATTTGGATTTGACCGCTGGAATTGCTGTTAATGCCCTTGGGCATGGTGATCCTGATTGGCTGCAGGCGCTGACTGACCAAGCTAATACCCTCACCCATGTCAGCAATATATATTATTCTGTTCCACAGGCAAAGTTCTTTCTCTCTCTTTTTTTTTTAGAATTCTTTTTCTGCTTCTTGTTTCTGTTTATTTAATAAGTTAATAAATAATTCGTATAATCTGCGCAAATGGAGTTCTTTTAATTACAAGTGTTTGGTATGGAATCTATGTTTTTCTGTGATTTTGAAGGTGTTTTAATTGAATTTGGAATCTGTTTCAGGTTTGAAATTGGTGTGGGTTGTAGGAGAGGAAAGAGATAGTGATAGTGTAGTATTTTGAAATTAAAAGCATGTGAATTGTGTTAGTTGTAAGTGTTTTAGGACTTTCTGGACGAGGAAATTTGATTTGTTTGGGGAATTCTGGATTGTATGATGGAAATGGTTCTTCAGTTAACTCTTGAAAGTGCAAATTTTCCAGAAGATTAAATTGGTGTTCTACATTTCGCTCTTGCTTTTTCTATGAACAAGATCAATGTTACTAAAGCTATTGTGGAATTTTCAGGTTGAACTTGCCAAGCGTTTGGTTGCTAGCTCATTTGCTGATCGTGTATTCTTTACGAACTCTGGTACAGAAGCAAATGAAGCTGCAATAAAATTTGCAAGGAAATTTCAGAGATCTTTGCACCCGAGTGAAGAACAGCCACCTGTGGAGTTCATTGCCTTCAGCAACTGCTTCCACGGAAGGACTATGGGAGCTCTTGCTTTAACAAGCAAGGAGCATTACAGAATTCCTTTTGAACCAGTGATGCCAGGAGTCAACTTTTTGGAATATGGTGATACCCAAGCAGCAACAAAGCTGATAAGTAGTGGCAAGATTGCAGCTGTTTTTGTAGAACCTATCCAGGGTGAAGGTGGTATATACAGTGCCACAAAGGAGTTCTTGGTGGCATTGCGCACAGCCTGTGATTGTGCTGGGGCACTTCTTGTCTTTGATGAGGTAAGTTTATTAAGACATGCAATTGGGCACAAGGAACATGGAGTACTTAGTGAGACACAATAGCCATATTGCATATCCCCATTTGTTGGTGCATAATAAGTTTTCCAGAAGCTCAGGGAAAAGATTATTAGTATGTGTAGGTGCTCGTCGGGTATCCCATCCTGCAGCTAACGCTTGGTGGTTGTTTCACATTTTTCTTTTTGATTTTACATGTCTTGGATTTTCATGAAACGAAATCCTTGACAATTGTTGCCATTACGTTAATGCTAGGCCTACCAAACAGTCAAAAAAATGGGATTTAAGATTCAGAAAAATGATGTCATAGAACTTTCCTTGTGTTGAAATCAGGGGAAAAAAAGGCTCTCCAGCACGATTCTACTGAGCTCCTCCATCTGATGTAGTTCTTAGCACAAATTCTCAATTACTACAATTGGATGTTTATTGCATTAAACTTTTTACTTTGGTAAATCAATCCTGAAATGTTTGGAAGATAAGGATGCTAAACATCAGAGTTGAATGTACTCATTTGATTACTTCATGGTATTCCCTTATACTACTATCTGTTTAATGTGGTTTACAACAGTGACACCTAATGCTTTCTCTCTCCTACAGGTTCAATGTGGCCTAGGCAGGGCTGGTTATCTTTGGGCTCATGAAGCTTATGGTGTATATCCAGATATGATGACTCTTGCCAAACCTCTTGCTGGTGGTCTACCAATTGGGGCTGTGCTGACGTCTGAAAGGGTTGCTGGCTGCATTAGTTATGGAGATCATGGTAGCACCTTTGCTGGCAGTCCTCTTGTTTGTAGTGCTGCAATTGCCGTAGTAGATAAAATCTTAAAACCTGGATTTTTGGCCAGTGTCTCCAAGAAAGGCAAGTATTTTAAAGATTTGCTAGTTAAGAAATTAGGGGGAAATGCACATGTGAAAGAAGTACGGGGCTTAGGGCTTATTATTGGCATAGAGCTGGATGTACCGGCCTCACCACTCGTTGATGCATGTCGACAATCTGGTCTTCTCATTCTCACTGCAGGGAAAGGCAATGTGGTTAGGCTTGTCCCTCCATTAGTTATATCAGAGCAGGAACTAGACATTGCTGCTGAAATCTTGCTCGATTGTTTGCCAGCTCTTGACGGGAGTAGCTAGAAATAGATGACAGTTCAGTTTCTTTTGTATGTTGACTATGTTTAGTTCATGGAATCCTATCCCTGTTGTCATATACACTAGTCAGTATCTTGTATCATTTGTATGTTCAATCTTAACATACCTAAACACGAGACCATCAATTCTAGTTAGATGAGGAATAGTTTCACTGCTTATATTCGTAGTTACTCTCTTCTAATGGTTTTAAACTCTTTGATCATGTGTAGTAGATCTCAATATGTTGTTTTCTCCATGGGGTTTTTTTGATCGCTTGCATTTTTAAGAGAACATAATTATTGCACGGTTAATGTTCAGCATCACGATGGTTATCTGCTTCCAGCTTTTCTAATTCCATGAATACTTTGCACAATTGAGCTGGACGAAAATTACTAGTAATAGATAATGAGTGATAAATTAAAGGGTTAAATGCACTAAATCCCCCTAAATTATGTAGCGAGTTGCTAGTTTAAACCCCCCCCCCCCCTTTTCCCCTCCCCCACAACAAAAAAAAAGAAGAAAGAAAAGGCCCACAAAACCCCTGAACTTCTTTAATAGGCATTTTGCCCACCTTGATGATATGGTTGGACAAAGTTATCCCTTCTATCTTTATTATTATCATTTTTAGATTTCCCTTCATTTTCTTTATAGTTTCTTCCATTTTTTTTTCATTATTTGACTCTCATGTTATTATTATTATTTGTACACCCTAAATAAAAATTGTTATTTCGTTTAACTTGTATACTAGATTGGTGGTAGCTAGTCTATTTGTTACTTTCCAATGCCAGTAATTAATAATAAACTCTATATGATGACAAGATCTATATTATTGTATTTTGGAGCCCATTTGATTTAGGAGCTTGAAATGTTTGATTTAAGTACTTGAATTATTTAAATATGTAGTAATGAAATAGAGCAATTGATTAATCAATTGTCAATAATTACGGCTAACAAGTGAACAAATCAACTAATATAATTTATGTTTATTTTTTATGTTTTACTATAAATAACTTGTGAACCTTTCTTTCACGTCTGATCTACAGTATGTTACGTTTGATTAAGCAATTGAAAACTCAAACTAGTTCATATATATGCACTTAAATTATTGCATTACTACATCAAATACGCTTTCCAATGTAGGTACGTATATTTAGTAGTATTATAGAGTTTATAATGAATGAATTATTAAAAGTGAATTAAAAAAATTAAAAACGATTTAAAGAAAATTAAAAAATCAGGGTAATTATTTCAGAGTAGAATGAAGAATTGGCTAGTGGCGCGAGAGAAAAGGAAAAAAAATAAAATAGAAGGAAAAAGAAGAGGGAGAAAAGAAAAAAAAAACTGAAAAAATAGAGAAAAAAAGAACAAAGAATTAAGTTAGGAGGGACAATTTTCTCCAAATACATCATTAATTTTTTTTTTTGTCAAAACTCCAAATACATCATTAAGGAGTACAAAATGCCTGTAAAACAAGTTTAGGGGGTAAACCGCTTCTTGGTGTATATTTCAAGGGGTTTTAGTGCACTATTAGGATATATACCCTAAAATGTTTAATCTACATATTTATAAGCATATATAGTGTCTAGATATTGAAATTCGATTTATTTTGGATGATAAGCATGCAGGACGCAAAAACAAGTACTTGAATACTGAGTTTCCGTAGATGAAAATATGATACAATTTAAGGGGTACAAAAACTTGCTACTAAAATGCCTGAATAATAAATCCAAATGAATAAGTCTGCAAGTTAATGACATTTTTCCAAAGTAAAATTAAATCTAGGTGAAAGAGTGAGAGGGTGGAGGGCAATTCCAAGAACTTTGACAAAAAATTCTCAAAAGAATTTCCATCTCTAGAGGGACTTGCATGTGGGAGTTGCTAGCACCACAAAAAAAAAACGGGTATGAATTTAACTAGGCTACAAGAAACAAATTAAACAATTGGAGTAGCATAAAATAATATTGATTTATGTAGCACTAGCAAAATTAGCGTAGCTGAAATCAATTGCCTTTGTTTGAATAGCCGTTTTCCGCCGGACAATTGCGTCGTTTTCTGTGATTATATTCTTCTATTATCTTTTTTCCTCGTATACATCAAATCGCCACAGTAATATTTCTGCAAAAAATCCTAGAAAATGCAATCCAAACATTTCTATCCTCTTTCTCTATTATGATTGAGGTCTCAATGTAAGTTATTGTACACTGTATATTAAGGTTGTGCATGAGTAGAAGAATGCAAGATAGTAACATATCAATCCAAAATAAGATTATATATCATGATACAGATAATATAACAGGGCGAAAAAAATCCTTTGCTGGGTGGACATAAAAATATATATAATTATATATGAGTTCAAATCGACATATATAAGTCTATTAGAATAAAATTTATATTGGAAAAAATAATTCACCTTGACTAGATTAGTTATTTGTTAATGTATGTCAGATTCCTTCATAATATTGCTGATTGCTTTGTTAAACTTGAATAAGATCGTTATATGGTCAAATATCCCTTATGGCAAACGGGTGAAATTGTGACTTTCATCAGACCTCCTGTGCAATTCATTCCAACAACTTGCTTCTCTAGTTGGAGCATCTGCATGCTTACATAGTGTAGCTTTTCCTTTCATGAGAACTCATTTTATAAGGCTGCAATACTCATCGTTATTTTTACTTTCACGAGTGTTTGGATTTGTTGAGTTTTTCAAAAACTAGTTTTTCAAATACTATTAAAATTTTTAAAAAGTGCTTTAAAAGGTACTTTAAAAAGTAGTCTAAATTTTTTTTAATGTTTAAAAAATATCCCAAAATATATTCTAAAAACTCTTCTACTCTTAAATATCCCAAAATATTTTCTAAAAATATCCCAAAATATATTATAAAAACTCTGCTACAGTAAAAATTTTCAAAAACACCTCAAAAACAGCTAATCCAAACGGATTTGATAACTCCCTATTTATTGCTTTCTTCCACGTATTCAAGGTCAAGTGTAGCCCATCTCGAGTTCTGTATTAATTTATTTTTTTAATAAAATAATGAGTTGGCATTCCAATTCCATGTACAGGGATTGATAGTAAAAAATTAACTATACAAATAAACTGGTGAAAGAAAAGAACATTCATTCATGTTAAATTTAAAAAAAAAGGGGGGGGGGGGGGGGTTCATTAGAAGTACATGCAGCAAAGAGAGTCCACGTGCCTATTGAAACGAAGAATCATGACAAAGATTTGATTGTGATTTTTTTATTGATCTCTATCGTTAGTGTTGATTTTTCTAAAGTGAATGAAATTATCCTTAATGTTTATTAAAAAAAATTTTAGATCTTTGCAATTAAACAAGTCAAGCAGTGTCTTTCAATGCTTTAACTGAGAAAAAATTACACACATCTTTTAACAAAAGTTCGCAGTTTACAAATACTTCACTAGAAAGACCCCCCTGTCCCAAAATAAATAAATAAATAAAATCCATAGTTCCAAGTATAACAAATTATTCCGGGTCCACGTGTTGCATGCATTGTGCCAAAGATAAAAGATGCAACAAATTCTTCACCTGTAATTATGATAGTCCTATTAGTTTGTAGCAGCAATTTGTACGTCATGTAAAGCTTAGGAAAAACCATTGGATTTGGAGCTGGCCCAGTGGAGAAAAGAACATCGGAGTAGATTACCTAAATTGGCAGTGGGAACTTCAATTAAAACATGGAATGTTCTACAAAACTTTCATTCAAATTTGTGTAAATAAAACAAAGCCTTTGTCTAATGGTTGCTTCAACTTATCATATGCATGGACATGGCAATATTGCCCGATTGCGTTTAGAAATCGATCTAATTTCATTTCAAATTTTCAAAATATTAACACTTGAACTTAGACACATTAGACAAATTCACACTCCTTCCGTCCCAATTATTTAGTCCTATTTCAGGAATCCAACTTTTTTGAAATAGTGGTTTGATTGTGATGTTTATATTTCTTTTTCAAATTTATCCCTTAAATTCAAAATTTGAATTCGAATGATGACATGTATATAATTAGAACGAACGATTATATTGAAAAAAGAGATTAAAACGTGTTTTGATTTTTTCAATCGAACAAATATTTTGAAACATCCCCATATAAAAAAGTATGATACTTTTTGGGATAGGGGGAGTAACACAAATGGTTTCCAATTTGGTATTGGTAAGTTGGCCCTCAAACGGTGGGATCTCCCGCCTCGGTTTGAGGTAAGTTGGCATTGGTAGTTACCATACCAAACCGAGCGATCGGTGGTCATGCATTAGTGCATCCTCTGGTATTGATGAGTCCTCCCCCTCCAACCCCTCATGTAACCCACTTAGGATTTCCTTTGCCTTTAATTAGGATAGACTAGCGATACTGCAAGCATTTATGCACAGAGTTTCTAAAAATTTTATCGAGCTCAGGTTTGCAAATTTATACCTACTTTCTTGATTTGATAGATTTAGTAACCAAATCTTAAACTAACATTGAGTTGGTCAAAATTTTAAATAAATACCCTAAAATTCTCTTGTTTAATGAATTTTAATTTACTTTCCCATAGAAGTGAAAAATTTTCATGTCCATATCTATTGCTTGATAAACAAATATAAAAATAATTTTGTCACTTTAATATGATACTTTTGATGGTGTTTTACTAGGGATTTAATTTATAAGATAGAGAAGAAAATGTTGAAATAATTCTTTTAGAGTTCGTCAATTTTATCGAGTGGTGGGATTACCATAATTTGGAAATGATTTGGGCCATTTCTTTTCGATTTATTGTTAATTTTGATACCAGAGAAATAGCAAATAAAGACCAGCAAAACATTGGATCACATTTAAAGTTAACTCGCCAAGGAATTACAATAAAAATTAGAAACAATAGTAGTAGTTCTATAGTTTTGTTGGCAAAAAATAGAAAAGAAGAATAAGAGGGAAGAAGAATGAAAAAATAATTTTAAAACTCATTCATAGCATATGCATTATGCATACCAAACAAGGAAATTTCATAAAAATGTTTAAGGGTAGTATTGTTACTTTAAATAACAAGGGAGATATGTGCAGTAAGTGCTCACGAACAGTAATTAAATTTGTTGTACCTTCACTTTGGCAATAGAGTAGGATTCCATGTTGTATGACTTGTTTCTCACTTTGCCTTCTGACATATTGTTTTCTCTGTTTATGCCCAAGATTGTCATTCGTTAGTTAGCTCTAGCGTCTGT